CCGGTATTTTCAGAAAAACGAAGTGATGAAACGGGGCTAGTTTTCATCCTGCAAAGCCTGCAGAAGCCTTCCTCAAGCCTCTGGGAGGCCAAAAAAGGCCGCAAACCAGCCAAAAAACAGCTGGGAGGCACGCAGTGAGGCAGGTTTGCCTGCAGCTCGCATGCCGGCACAAATGGCTCTGTGTGCCATCTGTGGCATGCATGCCGTAGGTTTGCCATCACGGTTATAGTCCTTTCCTCTTAAGTTTGCATTCATATTATATTCGAATCAACATTCTATATCATATTGTATCATGATTATACCATCATTAAAGTTTTAATTTCAATTCTAGGCTATTTTTAAAAGCAAATCTCATCTCTTACTAACTTATATTCATATTATAACTTATTCAAAAACAATCAATTATCATATATCATTACTATTATGATATACTTCAGTTTCTTACTCTTCTATCTAGCCATTCATAAAATAAATCCCAGATCTTATAATACTCCTTTTTTTCTTGTTTTCTAATTGCTAATGTTAATCTACTCATTTCTGGACATTCCATTATGTTCTTAATCATTTACTCCTCCGTCGGAATTTTCTCATTTTTTTCCAATTTTGTGCAAATACAATTTTAGCTGCTGTTATTACGTTGATAATCAAATACGTTGTTTCTTTACTATAACCTTCAGGCAAAATCCCCCATAAAAATATCTCTGGTTTTAAATCTATGTGTTGTGTTATCATCTTTTTCAACCATGTGTGTATTTTAGTCCGGTATCTTTTAGCTTCTGCACGTGTCTACCGCATATGTCAACATGATCCACAGTGTCTTTAAACACCTTGAACCACAAACTAGCCAAAGGGTATGCCACACTAAGCCACAAAATCTTAGTTTGTGTGACTGTCATAAGTTTGTGCGACTTTTGTAAGTTCCACATAAAATGAGACAAGGGTTTGATCACTGAGCTTTTCTGACACACACCCCACTTCCCTCCTCTAGTCTTCTCTCTGTGTTGTTCCTTTTTGGAAAGTTAATCTTTGTTCAAAAATTCAACCCTTCTTGGCTTGTAGTTACTAATTCACTACTTAGGAATTGCGTACAGCAGATATCTAACAAAACCAGCTCAGTTCAATTCAAAAAATGTTGCAAAATACGATTTAGAGACGCCATGTTCAAAGGGAGCATATCTGACAGACAGAGTTCGAAACAATATAGATTTGTTGAGACAAGATAGTGGAACTAGATTTAAGGATAAGCAACCTTTTAAAAATTTTTTAAAAAAACCTTTATTGAAAATTAACATATTAAAACATACAAATATATCAAAAAAGTAAATTGATACATTTCATCATCGTTTTCTTGACAGTACAATCAATACGATAAATGCAATTAATACTTGACAGTTAATAGCAATATTATTAATAATAGCTAATAATCCATTAATAATACTAATAAAATCAGTAATTCAAATATATAGGTCAGTAAATCAAAAAGTATAAGGTTGGCATGAAATAACTATAGAAAAGAAAATCAGGTATAAATCTATATAAATATAATCTATGCACTAAACTCTATATTCTATAACACTTAAAAAGAAAAAAAGTATAAGATTTTATCTAAGTATTCCTTTATCTCTTACTTCTTACTTCTAAATATATTAACTTTAATAATTATACAATATAAATAAAACTAAATGAATATTATAAATATAGACATAAATATTATCAATATAAATCTTTACTTTCCTGACAGTCCATCCATTTCAACAAGTTCTCACTGATCATACATGTATACAAGTATGCAAGATATATTTCCATTTTGACGTATATATTTCACATTTTACTGTCTACCCATTGGTACTAAATGTTCCAAATTGTATAGTATCCTGAGTCCCTTTTGTTACTCAATTCCAAGGTGACTCTATCCATTTCTGCACATTCAAGAATTTTGCGAATGATAAGCAACCTTTGATCCGCAGCCCAGACTAGCCCCAAGTTAATGTCCAAGCTTGATCTGAAGGAACAAAGGTTGTTTTTGTGTTTTTAACACAATTCAGAGGTCTGATTAGAAGGCGCTTTCATTCTAAGCCACGTCAGGCAATTGTCATTTTTAGCAGAATTGTGCAACTGAAAGAACATAGCAAAGAGAGATAATGTTGAAAGCAGGCTGACCCAGGCTAAGGAAGACTTCATGGAATGAAAACAGCTGCATTCACACAACGTTAAACTGAACACCTGCTAATGAACGTGGTTACCTTCTGGATTTGATTAATACATAATCCCTACTCGACCCCAAACAGGTGGCCTGTGTAACACCTAAAAACACCTATAAAATACCAAACTAACGTAACATAGAAAGTTGTGCCAAGTTGTTGTTCTGACCAAAGCTTCCTGAGACTGTAATTAAGCACACACTTAGTCCAAACAACTCTTGTTTTATTTCAATACTGGGAATTATCTGCATTCCCAGCCCGTAATGAGTTCCAAACAGTTCCTCGAGATAAGCACCCACCTTTCTTTTCTGTGTAGTGCTGCCAACAACAGAAGTGTCAAATGAACTAGAAAAAAATGAACCAAAGTACAAAAAGCTTCAAGGATGACTCTGAACCGAACGAACGACCTTGCTTCCTGCAAAGGTTTTGGCACCTTTGCCTGTCCTTTATCCCTTATGGGAGGGGCAATCACCTCCTATCCTTAGTTGTCCCTTTTGTCTCAGCTGCTCTCGCCTTCTAGCAGCTCTGCGCACATGCGCACTGGGAACAGGCTTCCCTGGGTACTCTTCCTCGCTGCTGCCAGACTCCAAAGGCTCCAGAGTCAGCACCCCACTCCCAGATGGTCCTGGCCCCATCTCTGCCTCGGATGCAGGACTCTCGTCCGAATCCTCCCCAGGCTCCCGGACTGGTCCCCGTTCTTCCCCACTGTCCAATTTCACTGCCGTCTGCACCGGCTGCCGGCGAAGCACAACACATGTCTTCATAGCAAATTTACAGACAGTCCTTGACTTATGTCCACATTCGAGCCCCAAACTTCCATTGTTAAGTGAGTTTTGTCCCATTTTTTTTAACCTTACTTTGCCCAAATTGTTAACTGAATTGCTGCGGTTATGAAGTTAGTAACTCGGTCGTTAAGCGAATCTGGCTTCCCCCATTGACTCTGCTTGTCAGAAGGTCGCAAAGGGGGTTCCGATGACCCCGGGGACAACTGCGACCATCGTAAATACGAGTCAGTTGCCAAGCCTCTAAATTTTGATGATGTGACGAGGGAGATTTATGTAATTTATGAAAAATGGTCCTTAAGTCACTTCTTTCAGTGCCATTGTAACTTCCAACGGTCGCTAAATGAACGGTAGCAAATCAAGGACTGAATAAATATAGAAATAAATGAATATACAATATCACCCTGGAATTTCAGGCTGGCAAAAGACAACGAGAGACGGTTTTACTACACAACTCAGATACAAGATCGGTGTAATACTCTGAATTATAAATTAACTCCCCCCCAAAACAGGGTTTGCAACCAGATTAAGCCACAAAGAGGCAAACCCCAGTTAAAAACCAACCAAGTTTGTTCGGTGAAGGTAGCCAAAGGTGTTTTTCTACCCTAAATCAACACCGTATCTCTGAATGCTGCCCCAGAATTCACGCAGCTCATCAAATTCAGTGTTTTAAGTAGCGTTCACACAAACATGTTGAACCGGGAGACTGAAATAATTTACAGTGATAATTTACTTACAACCATAATTGAGGCCGGAATTAAGGCCTTAAGGCATTAAGTGGGTCACCGTAAGACTGCTTCCGATTTTACAACTTTTTTGCCAGCCATCATTAAGCAAACGCCATGGTCATGAAATGAATTTTGTGTTGCCCGGAAATTGGAAGTAAACACAGGAAACAGGCGAAAAAGTCAAAAATTGTGGTTGTGTGATCCTGTGACCATGGTCTGTGTGTGTTTGTCTGTCTGTCTTCGAAATCAGATCCTAAGTACCTTTGGAAGGGGGTAGGTCGTAACGTCGGCTGGTTGTTTTAAGCGAGGACTACTCGCGTTGTTAGTCTTTTTTAAAAAGGCATTGAACCACAAAGGGAATGCTATACTAAGCTGTGAAATCTTAGTTTACGCACAAACTAACTTCGCAACTTCACAAACTAGGATTTCATGGCTTAACCGCCTTTTAGCCATCTTAGTTAAGGATGCTGTTCCCAATGTAACTGCGTCCTTTTGGATGTGAGAAACGAAAAGATAAAGCAAAATGTATGAGCTTAAATTTTGGTAACTAAAGGCTCCCAGTTCAATCTGGCCTAATGGTGAAGATGCTGGACTACAAACTAGGAGATGGTGAGTTCTAGTTCTGCCTTAACCAGGAAAGCCAAGTGGGAAACTTTGGGCCAATCACCAGGAGATGGTGAATTCTAGTCTTGCCTTAGGCATTACAGCTGGCTGGGTGACCATAAATCAATGGCAAACGCCGCATAGAAAATTTGTCAAAGCTCCTATCCCAAATAAACAAGTTGTCCCAAAAAAAGGATTCAGAGCTAACATGTTCCCTTTCATTTCCTGAGGGGCGTGTCAGTCTCTCATTTCAGTCCCTCATTTGACATTTCCTTTTACGTTGCATTTCACGTCTACGTCTACATCTTTGCCTTGCATCAAACCAACATTCCTCAGTCAGAGGCTCCGCTACGCTCCCCTGATTATCTGCCGACACCTGAGGCACAACCAGGGAGGAAGGTCCTGGGGAGGAAGATGATTCCGAATCCTCCATCAAAGCAGGCTCAAACCTCAAGGCCAAATCCTCCTCTTCCTCCTGGCTCAAGTCTGTGTCCTCCAGCAAAGCTGGCTCAAATCTCGAGGCCAAATCTCTCTCTTCCTCATTGCTTAAGTCTGTATCTTCTAACAAGGCAGGCTCAGACCTCCCAGTCACAACATATATATGTATATGTCAAAATCCAATAAACTAAAATTCCCCAATTTTAACCAGATGCCAAAGAAGAGAAATTTGCATTTTTTAAACTCACCTTCAAGTAGTCGTATTCGCAAAGGTAGGACGGCTCCAGGTTGAAATGCATGAAGTAAAGTTTCACACGAAATCCCTCCGTCACGGAGATGTTCCATGTCACTTCTGAATCACTGGGATAAGAGTCCGGATACCCGGGAGAGCTGATTTGTCCAAACATCTCATTCAGGTCGACGGTGGCTGCTCCAAACAACCGTACCGCACAAAGGCACCAAACCAGCAAACACCTGGAAAACAAGGACACCGTCATTGATATTTATGTGCAGTGGTCGGATGCAGCCAGTTCGGACTGGTTGTTAACTTTCTGAGCAAATTGGTGCGGGTGTGGTGCCATCCTTTTGCACCACAAGGACCACCAAATCCATCATTTTAAATCCTGTGGACCAGAGTAAAATCCCCAAAAAAGTCTGCAGGAAATTCTCCCACCCCATTTTCCTACCTATTGATTGTTCTTTATTTGGGATCACAGGATACCTTTTCCAGTTCCGTTGTCAAGGAGAGAGAGAGAGAGACTTTTGGCTTCATGCAAGGAAAGCAGCAGAAGCCGCAGAAGTCTTTCTTTCTCTTTCCCAAAACTCCGCCAGAAACGAGTCTTTGCCGGCTCAGCCTCTTGGAGCAGGAGGCCTTGCAGGGTCCCAAAGACCCATTTCTGGCGGAGTTTGGGGGAGAGAAAGAAAGACTTTGGCTGCTTTCCTTGCATGCAGCCAAAAGCGGAAGAAGAAAGAAGCGGAAAGAAGCAACATGGTGGCCAGGCCAGGCGTGTGGGACGAGTGGGACAAGTCCTCCCCTCCGCCCTTTCCCCCCTCCCCTCACTCCCTCATGTTGTTCACAATGCAAGTGACACAAGCCTTGTGATCCCACTGGCCATGTGGGCAGCGCAGCCTTGTGTTCCCGCACCACCTGGATTAATTGCTTTGGGGGTGACATTTCTCTGTGGACCACCAAAATGTTGTCATGGACCACCAGTGGTCCCCAGCCCACTGGTTGGCGACTACGGGTTTGGTGAACTGATTGTTGGAAGAAATCATTAGGGCAGAGAAGCGGTTGTTAAATTATTTCAATCCCATCACTGCCCGTGTGTCTTCACACACTGACCGCCCTGCAAGGTAGGCCAGGCAAGGAACGAAACACCCAGGAAGGTGACTCTGCCGGTAGTCCTTGACTTACAACCATAAATGGAGGCCAACATTTCTGTCATTCAGGGAGATGTCTGTTCAATAAGTTTTGCCCCGTTTTGCCACCTCTTTGTTTGGCCAGCATTGTTAAAGTGAATCACTGCATTTGATAAATTAGCTACAGGGTTGTTGTTGTTGTTTTTCTTTTTAATTTTTAACAACAAACATAAACAAATGCAAACACAAAAACAGCAAATAAAACCTTCTTTCCATTGTACAGTGTGTCGGTTGGTACATATCTCTTGTGCGTAATATCAACAGACTTTCCCTCTTAAATTTAGATTAAGATTCATATTGTAAAAAACCTATCCATATCATGTTGTCTTATTGTTAAATCATCATTAGATTTTAATTACAAATTGACTTCATCCTTTTCGAGCAAATTATAATTCTTTCCATAGTAATCAATTATAATATATGATTTCACTGTAGTATCTTTACTATTATGTTACTGTCATGCTCCTGTTGGGAGTCTGACTCCGAAGGAGAGGAGGAACAGCCAACAGGGAGCGGGAGTGTGGCTCCGGAGGGAAGGGCACAGGCCGGCTGAGCAGTCAGAGGAGGACCCAGGCCCATCCCCTCTTCATCCTAGGGCATGCAGGGAGGAACGGAAGATGGAGAAATGTGAATGGCGTGGTCTACGGGGGAGGAAGGGGCCCTGATCTCCTTCATGGGCTGCAGCTGGAAGGTCTGTTTAAAAGGACAAACTGCGCATGGCCCAGTGCTGGAAGCAAAGCGTGCATTATTCTTGTCAGAACGTATCTGTGTTTTGGCTTCCTCCCGACTGGTGGCTGCGTTATCTGTAGAAGTCTACAATTAATCATCCTTGCCTGCCCTAGTAATTCCTACAGTGTGGTTTGTGTCGGTTTTTATTTATTTATTTCAAATTAACTTTGCTTTGGGTGCGGACTGGATTTACTCCCTCCATAAACTGTTTTCTTTAAGAGTTCCCGAGGCAGCACTCTGGGAGTTGAAGTTTACACACATCCTGGCTGAGGCATTCTGAGAGTTGAAGTCCTCACATCCTGACAGGGAAATTCTGTGAGTTGAAGTCCATACATGCTGGCTGGGGAATTCTGGGAGTTGAAGTCATCATATCCTGATTGGAGAATTCCGGGAGTTGAACTCCACATAAACTGGTTGGGGAATTGTGGGAGTTGAAGTCCATATATTCTGGCTGGGGAATTCTGGGAATTGAAGTCCCCATAAACTGGCTGGGGAATTTTGGGAGTTGAAGTCCACAATATCCTGGCTGGGGAATTTTGGGAGTTGAAGTCCTCATACCCTGACTGGGGAATTCTGGGAGTTGAAGTCCATACATTCTGGCTGGGGAATTCTGGGAACTGAAGTCCACATATCCTGGCTAGGGAATTCTGGGAGTTGAAGTCCACATATCCTGGCTGGGGAATTCTGGGAGTTGAAGTCCTCATACCCTGATTGGAGAATTCTGGGAGTTGAACTCCACATAAACTGGTTGGGGAATTGTGGGAGTTGAAGTCCATACATTCTGGCTGGGGAATTCTGGGAACTGAAGTCCCCATAAACTGGCTGGGGAATTCTGGGAACTGAAGTCCACATATCCTGGCTAGGGAATTCTGGGAGTTGAAGTCCATACATGCTGGCTGAAGAATTCTGGGAGTTGAAGTCCTCATATTCTGGCTGGGGAACTCTGGGAGTTGGAGTCCACTCGTCTTAAAATTTCCTAATGACATGTTCTGGAACCTTCTCACCCCTCCCGTGAAGATTTAAGGGGTCCAAGAAAGTGAGAACATGTCGCAGACACCATTTTAAATACACAACAACACCAAGAAGCCCATCCCGGATGTCTCTGCTCCGATTTTCTGTAAACATCCTGTGACAGATGTGTCAATTTTGTAGATGGCTGTTTTCTTACACCGTTGTCTGGCAGTGGAATTCATCCATTTTCACAGAGTGCGTTGAACTGTAAACCAACTGCAAACTAACTTAAACAGTGTGCAGAATTGTAAACTGAACTAAATCTACGCAGCATGCTAGTCCATGGGGGGGGGGAGCGGGGGGGGGGGGGAAGCAAAAGCAAACCAAGATTAACATTTTTGACCTGGTTTAGCAGGTTGGCAAATGAGGAGCAACTGGATGAGAGTGAAAATGGCGGCTTGGACCTTGTGATTGGAGCCTACCCCTTCTTCTTTATGTATTTATTCATTTATAGCCTGACCTTTATTATTTTTATAATAATATAATATTATTTATAATAATAAGCTCACGGTCCAAGCATACCTAACCCTCCTTCTTCCTCCTCTTTGCCCTACAACAACCCTGTGAGGTGGGTTGGTCTCCTGGCGATTGGCCCAAAGTCACCCAGCTGGCTTTCATGCCTAAGGTGGGACTAGAACTCCCATTTTCCTGGCGATTGGCCCAA